TGAATTTTACATCAAGCTACTTCTTTCTGATCAAGACTCCCTTATTACATGCTTTGCAGCAAGATTCGTGCAGCAGCAATGGCACAGCGCTCCCTTGTAGTCCCCTGAGTTCATGGGTTGACTGGTTTTGGCATGTGGGTGGTTTATTGTCTAGCATGGAGAGCTGTTATGGTCCCAACCGAAGGGACAGTGGCCCAGGGAATAGCTATAGAGGTGCTGTGTTTTACAATCAGTGCACAGTTGATTGCTTGTTGTGCACTTTTTAAATTGCATTTTGTTTGTTTTGACCATGTAGTGTGTTTTATGGATTGGCTATACACTTTTGAATTGCATTTTGTGCATTTTGGCCACATGGTATGTTTTGTGAATTGTTTGTATATTTTTAACTGTATGTTTTGTATGTTTTAGCCATGGATATGTTTTGTGGGCTGGTCACCTGACTGTAATAAATAATAAATAAATTCTATGGTGCTTTTCAGCACTGCTAGCTTAGATGCTGTTACCACCCACTCAGGAACTCAAATAAAAAAAATTCTCAGGAAACCCTAATGCCAAATAATGTTAAGAAGTCTGAATAGCTCTGTTCTTATGTTTTACTGTACTGTCACCCACTCAGGAACTCAAATAAAAAAACTACTCAGGAAACCCTAATGCCAAACAATGTTAAGAAGTCTGAATAGCTCTGTTCTAGGAATCTTTCTGCTCTGCTCATTGCTACAAGGTAAAAAGTAGTGAAAATTAAATCTGTCCATAGTATGTTTTACTGTACTGTCACCCACTCAGGAACTCAAATAAAAAAACTACTCAGGAAACCCTAATGCCAAACAATGTTAAGAAGTCTGAATAGCTCTGTTCTAGGAATCTTTCTGCTCTGCTCATTGCTACAAGGTAAAAAGTAGTGAAAATTAAATCTGTCCATAGTTCTGCACTTGTGCTCCAACCTCCTGAGCCCAATCATTCTCAGATATCCAAGGAGAACAGATGAATTTTACATCAAGCTACTTCTTTCTGATCAAGACTCCCTTATTACATGCTTTGCAGCAAGATTCGTGCAGCAGCAATGGCACAGCGCTCCCTTGTAGTCCCCTGAGTTCATGGGTTGACTGGTTTTGGCATGTGGGTGGTTTATTGTCTAGCATGGAGAGCTGTTATGGTCCCAACCGAAGGGACAGTGGCCCAGGGAATAGCTATAGAGGTGCTGTGTTTTACAATCAGTGCACAGTTGATTGCTTGTTGTGCACTTTTTAAATTGCATTTTGTTTGTTTTGACCATGTAGTGTGTTTTATGGATTGGCTATACACTTTTGAATTGCATTTTGTGCATTTTGGCCACATGGTATGTTTTGTGAATTGTTTGTATATTTTTAACTGTATGTTTTGTATGTTTTAGCCATGGATATGTTTTGTGGGCTGGTCACCTGACTGTAATAAATAATAAATAAATTCTATGGTGCTTTTCAGCACTGCTAGCTTAGATGCTGTTACCACCCACTCAGGAACTCAAATAAAAAAAATTCTCAGGAAACCCTAATGCCAAATAATGTTAAGAAGTCTGAATAGCTCTGTTCTAGGAATCTTTCTGATTTGCTCATTGCTACAAAGTAGTGAAAATTAAATTTCTGCACTTCACGAGAACACTTATTTCCAATGTTTTTGTCAGAACTATGCAAACTACATGTGTGAAAAACACTCCTGCCATTGTTGCATTTTCATGAGACAAATACAAGATTCTTGCAGTCCCAATTTGCCTATTAGCTTATGCATACTTATATCCGTTCATTTTATATAATATATGAAGTGTTGTTATTTCTATTATTATCATATTTATTTATTTTGCTGAACAATAGATTATTATGACATTAGATACTACTGTTATTAACTGAGCTTGGTATTGGCTATCTTGAGAATAGCTTTTTATGGAAAAGCAAAAAGCATACAAATCATGGTAAGACCAGAAAGTCATTTCAGAGCAAAGCAGCCAAAGCATGTACCTACAACAGTTAGCAGGTAAGATGATGAATAACCTGAACTATGTATCCTTTCTTTAAAAACAAACAAACAAATCCAATCTTTGGTCATGTCTCCCCCTGCTTCCTGATGCTTTATCTGCCAACAGGTAATGTTGTAGATTCTACCACCTTTTTATTCACTTACAGATGGTAGCATGTGGGTGCTCAGTAGGGGAGAGAGAGACTAGCATCTCATTGCAGCTAAACTTTACTGTTCTGTGTTTGTCCCACTGGCATGCTGTCCTTGCCAAGAAAAATGGCTGGACTGCAGTTGAGATGTACTAAGGATAACCTACCCACTTCAATCGGAACATATTATTTCATGTGGGTTCTTCTTGAATGGCAAAAAGAACTGTCCCATACTCTATGGTTGTTTCTTATTACTATCACTGTATGTCAGGGGTGCTTCTGGTGCTTTAGATATAATTTTAATGCCACAGTTGCTGTAAGTATCAGATCTCCTGAAGCAGAAATGTGCTAATAAAAGGACCTACTGGAAGCAGGGTCAGCAAATCTTTCAACATTGTTCACTCAAGAGGAAGAAGGCACAATATATTAACCTCCTCAATAATACTTTCGTTTCTTGCACGGCTTCAAGAACAACAGTTAATGTTTTCCTTCTGACCCAAAACATTTCCTAACAAAATGGGATCATGGCAGGCAATCAGAAGGCCAAGGCTTAAAATAAAATTGGAAGCTCCACTCGATGGAAATCTGACAAGACTGACCTGCCCTGATGTGGCAAGACTGAAGGGGAGAATGGTTTCAATAGGAAATCTGGATGTCTTAACAATATTTTAAAGAAGACAACGGAGAGGAAATAGATTTTATTTGATGAATTATAGAGTAACAGGACTACTGAAAAAATAAGAGTAAATCTCAGCCTTCTAAATCTGAAAAGAAATATCCAAACAATGCAAAAACCAAGAGGTGGTGAATTAAATGAAAAGAACTCTTTGGATCTGGTTATGGAGGAACATTTTTATAGCATTCAGTTCTGACTATACATTTGGGCTGCTATATCTTCTTTTAATATATATCATGTGCATTATCTGAGTGTGTGTGTATGCATATACACACACACACACACACACACACACACACAGAGAGACAGAGAGAGAGAGAGAGAGAGAGAGAGTATACTTGTGTGCCTCTTTTGTCTGGCCAGCTGCAGGAATGTCGTGGTTTTATAAAAGAGGAAATAATGATTTAAGTACTACTGACAAACCAGGATTGCTAATAAAGTTATGTGTAAGCCACAGTTTTATGGTTCAGACGTTATAGGAAATAATAGTGTAAGAAAAGATAGAATTTTATAGGATGTAGAACAGGTATGGAAGAGAGAAGGGCATGGTCAAGCTTGTTTGAGTATGCCATTATGTCTCAACTGGAATATTATGTGCATTTCCATTGGTGTCAAGATTAAAAGGAGAGAGCATAAATGTATCAACAGCCCTATTTTCTTTTAAAAGAATGTAGCTTAGTCGTGGGAGGAGGACAAAAATGGTCACAGTCCAACACAGTATTAAAAATGCAGCCCTATTAAAATCAACAGCCACAAGTTATTAACACTACAATTTTTAAGTATGTTTAACTCTTATGTTGTGCCGGGTGTATTTGCATATGCCTAATCCTGTGTAGCAGATTGTAACTGAAATGTATACATGCTGGAATAAATTAATTAGTCAAAACTATCATCTTGGATGCATTGTATCATCAATGTGTATATGATTACCTGTATTATATTTAGTCACAAGTTTCTCCTTCATTAATTACACTGATAAAATCTATTATTCCTAGTCTCATTTTGTCATGTACCACAAAACACTCTGTTTTAGGAGGGGAACTCTTAGTGAACACCCAACTGCTGCTGGTTGAAAGTTGAGATGGTGCTCTATCTGCTGGAACGTTCTGCCCTCCAGTGGTCTCTGCTTTGCTATTTGATGTAACAACTTCAGCACTATGGACAGAGGACAGCTCATGTTTACAAAAGCAAGCCTGCATTATATCGCACTGCACACCTGCATCAGATTTTGTTGTACTGTCTCTTCCATATGTCTCTGTTTGGGACCAAGCATCATGCCTTGGCTTGAAATCCGCAGATGCGTTTTCAAACAATACCTCTGAAAACTCTGTTGCAGCTCTGCACAACTTCTTTTTCCCTAGATCCAAAGCTGGCTTTGTCTGTGGATGAACGCCTGCTGATTTTCCAGACAAATTTTCAAGTAAATTGGAATATGTATCTGTTGACTGACAGTTGCACTGGGACTTCTGATTTACTGAAACAGGACTGTCATAATGTCTCAGAAAACCACCTTCAAAATAACTTGAAGCTTCCTCCTCTTCCTTTTCAGACTGTTGAAATAAATTTGTCAGTTTATCTGAGAATGTCTAGGCCCAATAATTCATCATATTATATGTCACATAAGAAACCTTTTGGCTGTTCATGTGCCCATTCCAAAGCCAATCCTCTTGTAGAGACAATAAGATCCTATACATAGCAAGGCAGAATTGCAACTCACTTTAATTTGCAAAGCAATCCAAATATTTTTCCTGTCCAAATTTTATCATTATTCTACTATTGTAGTTTTTATTACTTTTTTAAAAAGAAAAAATCCTTCCCTTGACAATATGTTTAAGGGTATTCAACAAATTCTATCTCCTTGCTTCCAATCCTTGATGATCAACCTGCACAAATTCAGTTTAAGGCACTATTTGCCTTCCGTTTACCTCATCAGATGTAGTACTGGAATATCCATCTGTCTGCTTTGGAGAATAGCTGGGTGACCAGTTGCTTAGCTGAGATTCATCATCTGGAAAGGAGGAAAAACTCAGTAAGAAGAAATTCAGTGTCAACAAATTTGTCTGAAATAATGTTGACTCTGTGTGAACTGACATGAAAGATGTCTCAACAAGATCTTGCACTGAACCATTCAACTTACACTGATTTTCTGATGGTCTGTATGTTCTGTATCTAGATTTTAAGACCAAATAACATTTAAAAACTATTCAGGTGTTATGCCTGAACAGGAAATACAGAACGCTGTGCAGAACACACGGGCTGAAAGCTGGCTACACCTCCAAGGTATGCATCTTTGCTCTCAGCTCTTCCCAGATTCCCCAAATAAACTAGGATAGCCTGGGCTTCTACTCATATTCACTTGAACATCGTTCTGTGTGTGACTGGGAATCTTGATAAAGCAGAGTTCCCAAATCAATAGAAAGTTCTACTTGTGTTTAAGTGTATGTGAAAAGAAGGCACTTCCAGACTTTCCAGACTGTTAAGAGATTAGGATCAATGAGGGTGGGGATACAGATTTTAGAGGCGGGGGCCTTTTCATGGGCCTTTACAAGGGTTATTTCCTGCCCAAGAACAGTGCTGTATAGGGCCTGTGTAGTTTGGAGGGACGTGGTGGCGCTGCGGGCTAAACTGCAGAAGCCTGTGCTGCAGGGTCAGAAGACCAAGCAGTCGTAAGATCGAATCCACGTGACGGAGTGAGCGCCCGTCGCTTGTCCCAGCTCCCGCCAACCTAGCGGTTCGAAAGCATGCAAATGCGAGTAGATAAATAGGGACCACCTCGGTGGGAAGGTAACAGCGTTCCATGTCTAAGTCGCACTGGCCATGTGACCACGGAAGATTGTCTTTGGACAAAACGCTGGCTCTATGGCTTGGAAACGGGGATGAGCACCGCCCCTAGAGTCGAACACGACTGGACAAAAATTGTCAAGGGGAAACTTCACCTTTACCTTTCTACTGTGGGGAATGCAGGTTTTCACTGTCATATTCTTTGCACTGCTGATGGTGTATTAAAGCACAGCAATTTAGTATCTAGCAACACTATTATTTTTATGACGTATATATGTGTTTCTTAATTATAATCTGATGGATTGGTGCTTTATATAAGGCCTGAACTCTCATTTTGATGTTGTGTTTTATATGCTCTTTCAATAAAGTTAACAAAAAGATTATTGGTATTATTACCTGAGTATCTACATATGCTAACCTCAAAGGGAGCCCAATAACACCCTGGTCAGAGTCCTCCATTATAGAAGTATCCATTTAAATAACTACTACATCACAGTCAAAGGTTCGTGTATCTACATATGCTAGCCTCAAAGGGAGCCCAATAACACCCTGGTCAGAGTCCTCCATTATAGAAGTATCCATTTAAATAACTACTACATCACAGTCAAAGGTTCGTACTCCTTTAACTTCCTTTATAGTTACTCCCAACGTCATTCATGCACATCAAGATAAGTTAACCACAGGAAGGGACGACAACATCAGCTCAAAGCAGACGTCCCTAGTGGAAATTAGAAATACTCTTCAAGAAATCAAACAACTTATGACTCTTACGTTGGGCCATCTGACAAAAACTGAACACTCCTCAATGACCCAGGAAGGTCCTGCAAGGCAGACAAAGGAGGACAACTCCACTAATGACCTGGGGCACACAGACTATTACAATCTATCTCCAGAAACTATAAACAGAATCACTAGCCTGAACCTGGAGGAATTGCTCGTCTGTGAAGGCTCTTCAGCAGAAGCTTGTAAAAGCCCCATTGCCCCCAAAGCTGTCAGTACTAAAACTGACCTCACAAATCAGGTCTTGTCAGTCAACACAGGGCCCTTAATTCAGAACCTGTTGTTCAACACAGGGCCCCAATAGGGGGCGTTGACCTTCAGTTGGTAAAAAGAAGGTGACTAACCTCCCCAGGGCAACTTTACCAGCCAAAATAACAGAGGAAAGGAAAACCAAGTGCAAGAGAGTAAAGTTCAGAGCGGATCATAAACATACAGGAAAGAAAGCCAAAGGCTTGAAATTCAATCCCCTATTCAAATTACTGGACTCTACCACAACCAGCCCAAAGAAGAAGCAAGACATCAATAATTAACATACAAATGATAAGCGACCAAAATGGGATCAGAGAGTCAACAGCACAGCACCGGAAGGAAAGAACGACACAAGACAGCAAGATGGAAACATCAACCAGCTCAAGTATATACCCCAGGACGATATACACCGAACGTCTGCTGACCCTGTCCCTATTGGCTGGCGCACTCAGAGCCCTTACACCAAGAGCTCCAAAGAACAACCTGTTAGCCAATGGCCTCTGAATTCTAAGTCCTTTGTGGGCATCTCTATTCCTGTCTTCATAGGGAAGAGACACAGGTATACAAGAATTAAAAGGAGAAGATTTAGAGGAAACAATGAGATGAGGAGGAGATCCACTGCCAATCAGATGAGCATAGATCAACAAAACTTTGAAGCAGTCCCAAATTTTAATGAGGCCTGGAAGTACCAATTTAGTGGTGGCAATTATGTTCCAAACAAAATGATTTGATAAAGGGTTGATAGCTCTCCACAGGTACTTCCTTTAACTGCCATGGATATAAGTGCTACAGATGAAGCGGGATTATACAATCAGGTAGCGCATAACGTAGCGCTCGGTCAGGAGTCAACTCCAATGTGTGGTATAGATAAGGAGACTCCACAGCACTTAACCCATGAACTTGGAATACTTCATCACAAGAAGACTATTGTAAAAATATTGTCTTGGAATATTGCAGGGTGGCAAGCCAAGGCTGGGAATACTACCTTTATGGAGTATGTCTCTAATTTTGACATTTTATTACTACAAGAGACGTGGTCCTAAGGGAACTAATATTAGATAGTTTTGCAACTCGTAGCCTTAAAGCAGCTCCCAGCGTCAGGAGTGGAGAAAATCATGAGTCTATCTATGCTCAATTTCATATGACCCCTCTGGATTTTATCCCCTCCCGACACCTATACCCAAGACATTCTAAGGATCTAGGTTGTAATTATCCAGGTCTATGCTTAATGCAACGGGATGTGGTGGCGCTGCGGGTTAAACCATGGAAGCCTCTGGCTGCAGGGTCAGAAGACCAGCAGTGATAAGATCGAATCCACACAACAAAGTGCATATGCACCTACCATATCCAATCTACATCCCCAGCTGCACAGGACATATAAACAACTTCCTAAGGAAAACAGTTCATCCACAACCTTCCATATGACACAATTCTGGCCATAATGGGTGTACACATACATCAGTATTCCTCACTAAGATGGTCAGCAACCAATCGAAAATACTATTCTAAAGAAGGCTATAGAAAATCTGGTTTGCCAAGCTGGGCATCTCTGTACAGTGGTGCCCTGCATGATGACGATAATTAGTTCCGTGAAAATCGTTGTTTAGCGAAATCATCATGTAGCGAAAACCATTTCATCATTGGAATGCATTGAAACCCATTTAGTTTGTTCCAATGGGGAAAATACCTCATCGTTTTGCGAAGATTGCCCATAGGGCAGCCATTTTGTGAAGCCGCCAATCAGCTGTAGAAATTGTCTTGCGAACAAACGGTTCACAAAGCACGAACCAAATTGTCGCCAAGCAAAAATTGCCCATTGGAATGACTGTTTTGCGAATTGCTATAGCGATAGCAAAAAGTTATCATTATGCGAATTTGTTGTTTAGTTATCGTTATGCGAATTTGTTGTTTAGTGAGGTCTTCGTCTAGCAAGGTACCACTGTACTTACATGTGACTATTTCACCTTTGGCTAATACATATAGATATAGATTCCACATCTACAATTGATAATTAAACGTATTTATTGTCTGCTGAAGAACTTGAATTCAAAGGATATGGCTATTCTCCTTTTCTTAATGACTAGCTGCTAGCTTCCTTTTTAAATATTGAGAGGTCATTTAGGACAACTAAGCAATCTAAAATTAATACTAACCATGTTTTGTTCCTTGTTTTGACTGCTGATCACAGCAACTGAAGACTTCAGTTTCTGTCTTTGATGAAAAAAAATACATATGATGTTATTATACTTTCATATATCCTATGCTATTTTAATTTAATTTTCATCTTCTTGCATTTTTTCATCCTGAATTGAAGCATAAGATTTGCAGCTTGCTTGTGAAAACAAACTATCATTTCCAACATAAAATGGCCCATAAACAAACTACGCCTTCATCACATCAAAGAAAGCAAAAAAGCAAGTGTGCTGATTATATACCACCCCATAGTACTTAAAGCACTCTCTGGGCGATTTACAAGTTAATTATGCAGGCTACACATTGCTCCCCCCACCCCAGCAACTTGGGTACTCATTTTATCAACCTTGGAAAGATACAGTGAACCTTGAGCTGGCTACCTGGGACTGAACCCCAGGTTGTGAGCACAGTTTGGCTGAAGTACATCAGTTTAATCACTGCACCACGAGGGACCATCAATACTGTCCAAATATAGTTCTACTCAATGTTTTCTCAATAGTCACACACCCACATCCTCATCTCATCAAAGATAATGCTGTGGACTGGCTTCACTTCTATCATCATTGCTCTGTTATAGATTTACTATTAAGAGTCAATTTTTGATTTGTGCTTATAAGGATTGTGAAGATGAATGGAAGACCAGGTCTGCTGAGTAAAGCTCCTTTCTGTAAGAATATGTTCTATGTTCTACATTCTGTTAATGACACTTCCAGGTGCTGCAAGGCCTTTCTGCATTCCTACCATTGCTCTATCCTCACCTTAACCAGACAGGGTAACTTTATATCACAAATGAAAAGTTGGCACAAGTAAGTTGTCCAATTGACTGATACTAGTAAGAATGGAGGTTTTGTTTAAGACATCACACTTCCTAGGGAGGTGGGGTTTCATCACGGCAAGACTGGTTGGGTTTCAGGAGAGCTCCTGAAACTGACTGGGACCCCTCGATTTCGAGGTCCCCAATGTAGAGGTAAAAAGGACAGTCCACTAGGAAAGGAGGCATTTGAAGCAGCAGAAGTGACAGAAAGGGGAGGGAAGTCAGTGGGAGCTGCTTTCCCCCCCTCTGAAGTCTTCCTGAGTGCATGGACTGAGGTTGAAGCAATGTTGGGCAAAGAGCTGGGAACACACCTTGCAGAGGGTGGAGGAATACAGAAGGAACTTGGAAAATATCCTGACCAGGACTCTAAGTAATCAAGATATGTGTTTTATATAAAGAAACCTTTATAGACTTAAAACAATGACACAGAAGAAAGCTGGGCTTAACAAATTAATGAAAGTGGATTAGATTCTGTAACCCTTTGAACCACGGTACAGTGAGCCTCCCCTCCCCCATCCCTCAGCCTTAATTGGGAAAAGGAGGAGAAAGAGAAAGAAGGATGGGAGAAAGTTATTTGACTAATGAACTATTTTAAACAAAGGCAAAGACTCACTCCCGTGAAACAGTTTAATCATAAACTGTTTAATTACAATGCTGATGGAGGAAACTAGAATCAGAAAATAGAATTTTTGAACTTTGGAACTTAAGAAGAGTCTTAGATTTGCAACATCACTGCGTTGGAGGCACCTTTGTTTTCTTAGTTTCCTTTGGCACCACGGTGGAGGCGACCCTTCCTCCTGTAGCCCCGAGCAGCTTTGATTCGAAGACCTACGGAGTGAGCTCCCGTCGCTTATCCCAGCTCCTGCCAACCTAGCAGTTTGAAAGCATGTAAATGTGAGTAGATAAACAGGTACCACCTCGGTGGGAAGGCAGAGGTGGGATTCAGCAGGTTCTCACCTATTCTATAGAACCGCTTCCTGAATGTACTATTGGTTCTTAGAACTGTTTGTTGGCCTGAGATGAATGAAGGAGGAGGGGCCAGGTGACCAGCGATGAGCGGGGGGAGGGGGCCCAATTAGCTGCCTCCCTTCCCACTCCACACTGAGCCGTCTGAGGTGGGATATGGGTGAGAGAGATAAAGCCCTGGAAAGAGCAGAGG